AATAAATTCAACCTCTTGTGAACAAAGTATTATTATTAATATTATGTATGTAACGAGTATACTTACGTTATATCTCAACTTATTTTAATAGAATGAAACTACGCCAAAAGATCTACACGTTATATTTCCACAATATGGGCGTCTTCAAGGCAAGAGTGAATAAGCTTTTGTTACTAAGACAGTGCGATATACTATCTAGGGCTAAATCACCACTTGCCACCAGGTGGGATTGTGGTCAAGCATTGGCTTATAATAAGTAAAAATAATACGTTAAAAAAAGAGTTCACGCCTACCTCAAAAAGGTTAGTTTAACTAAAGTCAAGCAATAATTATACTACGTTATACTCGTATATATTTTTTAAGACAGATTTTCTTGCTCTATTTTTTTTCTTTATCATTTTGTCCACTGATAATGATGATACCATTTTAGTTAGATTGACGTTGCAGCACTAGATTTACCACACCCATGACGCTGCAACTGTACAATAGTCAGCAATGGGAATTGCTGATTATTGTACATTTGTCAACTATCGGAGTCCTTGAAGTCTTTTTGCATTTTCTCATTGCCGTCATAATAAATGGCTTTCGTTCAAGGATGAGACTCTACTTTAGTTGGTAATTTTCATCAGCAGTGAGTTCAAGTATCGCAACTGGAAAATCTACAATTTTCCAGTTGTGATACTTAATCCCTAAAAATAAAAATAAATGTTCTTACATACCGGTCGTTTTAGTAATCATAACGTTGCAATATAGAGTTATAAATACCACCTTTATAAATCTCAGTGCTGGGCACATACCCCCTGTTATTTCTGAGAGGGTTATGGAGCAATTAGTTCGCTGCACTGCTACAGTGTGTTAGCGAACTTCACATGGCCATGACACATTTTATTCCTTCGATATATATACCACGATGTTTACCTTTAAATAAATTTGTATATATAATACATTTTTCAATACCAACATCATATTAATTGAACAGTAAGTTCGCTTACAAATAGAATATAATTGCTCTCAGGAGTTCTCTCCATAATACCACATGAGCTAATACACTGCTAATTAATTCCCACACAAACTTTCGTGCGTTTTACGACAACCGAGTCTGACAGTTTACGATCAGTCATTGAAGATCTCATAAAATATTTGCTGTACAGTATAATATGTTAATTTAGATTCATTTTTATTTATTTTGATATTTTTATTTATTTTTATCTATATATAACCTAATTATATTAGAAAAGTATTATACAAATAATCACACGCCACTGACCTCCATATATCTCATAGCTCGTCATCTCTCAGTAACGAGAGTAATTGTGTTCTGTGGCCGCTATTGAGTGTACCGGGAACTAAATTTGAAATAATTTATAAATGACCGTTGTTTCGCTCAAAACGTCTAAGAGTATTTTAAATTTTTAAAGAGAAATTATGTGTTGTGTAGTTCGGTTATGTTTCATGTTATTAATATAATAAAAAGTATTTATAGTAACATTCATAATATAAAATTCGGCACCAGGAGGGGAAGTGTGATAACATTCACAAGTAAGGGGATTTAGGGTTTATATTAAAAAAAATCAAACTATCTAACGCTATGCTAATGCCATCAAAAACATAACTTGTAAAAAAGCCAAGTCTCGCAACTCAGTTCTCCTACCGTAAAAAGTTTTGAGATCCATGTAATACCAAGTCGGTTAATTTATTCAGTCCCTACTTAACCCAGATAAGCCTGAAACTAAAATTTTCTGAAAATTTTGAAAAAAGTTACATTATTTAGTTTATTAGATCTTATGCAACATAAAAAAAATTATGAAAAAAAAATTAAGTGTAAGGCTTTCAGGGAAACAGCCGTCCTATATGTAGGACAGTAGGATAATAAGAGGAAATAAAAGACCATTTATGACAAAACAGAATGTAATTAAAAAGTGTAGTTTATTAGATAACTATTGATTATATTACCCATTGTTATATGTAATTTACTAGATTAACACTATTTATGAATGATATGTTTCAAAACACTTGACACACACTCCAACATCACATTTCTTGCAACGTGTCAAACATTTTTTGTGACATTGACGACAGCGTGTTTGCTTCGATTGAGGAATAACCAGATGATTCATTTGGTCTTTACGACTATCAGCATGTTCATGATGGGAGGGTCGGCTAGGCCCTCTTTTGGCATTTTTTCTGTTTGATTCAATCAAAGCAATTGCTACCCTTCTGCGAAAGCCAAGATGATCCAGTTTTCCATGATTTATTTTATATAACTGCCATGCATTATGTTCGGCAAGATCAACCATGTGTGTGAGCAACGGCATGTACCATTTCTTACCTCGTATACCAATTCGGTAATGTGAAATATTTTCATCAGACCGATCCACTCCTCCCATAAATTTGTTATAGATGGACACCATATGTGGTTCTTCTATGACAATGTTTCTCTTTTCACTTTGTGAGAAGCGTTTGGCAGATTGTTTAGGATTTATTCCTACAGCATTAGAAGCAATACTGAATATATTATTGTCATGCCATTTAGCAATAATGAACGTGTTGTCATGTGTCGTTCTGTAATCGACAGCACCACGTTCCTTTTTTTTCAGTAACTTCGATGTAATCAGAGGACAACTAGATGTCCTGTATTCTCGAACTGTCCCAGTGCAACGAAGGCCTTTCTTTGTTATCTCTTCCAGCAAGGGCGTCCCAGTAAAAAAATTATCAAAAAATACGTGGTAAGGAAGGTCGAAGCCACGTGAAATCAGCACATCGCAAAAAGTGAGAACAACGCTTGCACCCAGCCCCAATTCTTTATATATTGGATTGCACATAGTTGTGGCACCTTGGTATGGTTCCATCCATAAAACATACCCTAACCGTGTAGCACCAACCCAAGCTTTGAACCCGTACCTAATAGGTTTACCTTTTATGTGCTGTTTGCAGCCATGTCTACCATAGTAGGGGATCATGGCCTCATCTACACTGTAATGCTCTTCAAGAGGAGAAAACTCTAAGAACTTTTTATTTAGAAGTGTAATTAGGGGGCGTACTTTTGTGTATTTGTCTTGCAAATCCAGATTATCATTGACATGAAGGTGGCGAAAAATAAAGTCAAATCTATCCCTAGTCATAGCCGAGCTGATCAATTCATTCTTTGTATCAGGGGAGTTTTCCCAATACATTCTTCTACGGGGGAGCCATGAATAACCACTAACCAACAATATGCCGATGAAACATTTCATATCTTCAGTGGTTATGTATCCAGGCAAATTCTTTTTGACAGCATATTTATTGCTCTCTGACACCAACAACGAAATAACATCTTCATCTAAGAAGTTCTCAAACCACTCAATTGGACGCTTATCTTGGCAAGCGCCTTGAACATCTGGCCAATTCACGGGATTTTTTGCCAAGTCCCGTTTTCTCCATGCGTAGGTACGCCTACGTTTAGTTCGACCTGTAGAATCAGAAGGTTTTTCTTCTGTATCACTCACCATAATCTGCCCTTGAATCATTACTTCAGCCGGTTGAAGCAGAATGTTTCGTGGCAAATTATTCAAAGTTACATTATCTTCTTCACCCGAATCTTCGTCAGTGAGACAGTCAGGATCAACAGGAGGAGGTAGAATACATATCAGTCGTTCTCTATAATCTTCTTCATTATCAGAAACATTTTCTAAAGCATCTAAAATTTCATGCGCAGCTAACGGTCTGTAAAGAAAAAGTTGTATTATTGTACTAAAATCATGTATATTATCCTACTGTCCTATATATAGTACGCTAGTATTTGTAACAAGTTATACGTAATTTATTTATATTATTTTGCTAGAATATTTATTTAGTAGAAAAGTTAAGGTTATCAACTAGATATTAACACAGAAAAAAACAACTCACGAGTAAAATATAACTTTTTATACATACCTGTCATTTGCCATGTCTGCAACGCACTTTTATTACACACTTATAAGGCAAAATATAAGGTAAAAACTGTTAAAATAACTGTCTTTTTATTTTTTCTAATAAAGCTGACACGTTTCTTACTGCAAATCATAAGACTAAATAATCTTAGATAAAAAGGGTATTCTGATATTTTTTTTTTATTTCTACTGTCCTAAATATAGGACAGTAGGCTTATCTGGGTTAAGGGTCCTTCTGTCTTAAATTATTACGTAATTAGCTTACCTAACTGTTAAGTATGCGGTCAGGGAGCGAGTTAAACGGCCGGTAGCTTGCTATGCACTCGTTTATTAACAGAGGGCGCGTGGGCACAGCCACGCATTGTAATAGATAGGTATACAAATGTATATACATACATAACAATTCCCCACCCTATTTTAGAATACAAGAATAAAATAAATTATAATAAAGCAGACAACTATAACCTAAAAGAAACGCTTATAATCAACCTTGGGACGGGGGCGCAGTCTATTTCTAGTGGCTTCGATTCGACCACCATTAAAATCTGCTTCTGCTTCGTGGAACTCGTCGTCCTCTTCCAACCGAGGCGGCACAGGGTTCTCTGCTTCATCACTTTCCCCTCGACGTGGCGAACCTTCTCGCTCTGCCGTGGTAACTAGGCTGGGATCTATGGTAGACGCCGGATGAAGTGGTGACGATGATGATGATGATAGTGATGGTGATGGTGATGCCGGCAGCGATGGCGGTGGTGTAAAAGTGTTTCCGGTGTCGCAAGTGTTCCCTTTCTCGTAAACGTCCACGTCCCATGCGTTATAGTCATTACTTTGAGCTTTATATAAAATTAGTTGATTTTTATGTTTTCGATAACATATTTGCGTATCCCAATCTTTTACTAAGTAGATAACTTTGCCAATTATTTTTGTTATCGTTCCCTTACACCAGTTAAACTTGTTGTTTACATATTTTTTATATAAAACGAAAGTTCCAGGTAGCATTTGCTTAATACGTACTGGTTCTTCCTTCTGTGGACATTTTTGCGCATTTATCAAATCGGATGAAGCCGCAGACGCAGACAGCGATGACGTAGGTACCTATCTGTCTAAGCGCGAGTTTAGCTTTCGCCCGAAAATCAACACGGCGGGTGACATGCCGGTGGTCGAGTGCTTTGAATTCCGGTAATCAAACAAAAACTTTAATAAATTGTTTTTTGATTGTTTTGTGTTGCTGCTAGACATAATACTTGATTTTATACCCTTTTTGACTATTTTTACATAACTTTCGGCTTGACCGTTACTTGCCGGGTGATACGGTGGCGACGTAACGTGTGATATCCCGTTTATTTCACAGAAACGTTTAAATTCTTGTGAAGTAAACGCCGTTCCATTGTCGCTTACAATCGTTTGCGGTATGCCGAACCTAGATATGAATTCGTACATCTTTTCAATGACTGTATCGGAGGAAGTAGAACTAGCTGTATCGTATATCTCCGGCCATTTAGAGTACGAATCAATGACCACTAAATACATTCGACCGGCTATGGGACCCAGGAAATCCATATGTACGCGGGTGAAAGGGTGGTGTGTCCGAGGCCAGGGGGCCGGCGGCACGCGCGGAGGAGATGGCCGCAGGTTGATGCATACCTCACATGTCCCTATCATATGCTCCACGGCCTCATCTACGCCCGGAAACCAAAATCTGGATCGAACTTCGGCCTTGGTTTTTACGATACCCAGATGTGTTTTTTGTAACTCAACTAACACCCTTTTACGCAACGTCTCGGGAATCACGATCTTATGACCTCTCATTAAGCATACATTTTCAACCGAGAATTGCGTTCTACATGAAAAATAAGGCTTATGGTACAAATCACTTATTTTCTTAGGCCAACCGTGTTTAACATATTCGGTTACTTTAGATAACCGAAACCGTAATCGGTAAACTCGTGTCGACCACAAAACACACGTAAGCCGCGCGGTCGCTCGAAGTGAAGTCGTCCGCAGTGCACGTATCGAGTGCGCCTGCACCCGTGTCGGGCGCGCGCCTCGCCTCCGAAATACTTGAGCGAGACAAATAGTCGGCGCTGTTATCAGCGCTTCGTATATACTCGATCGTATAGTTATACGCGCTAAGAAACATTGCGTACCTCTGCAGTCGATTCGCCGATACTTCCGGAATGCCTTTGTACGGTTCGAATATCGAAATTAGTGGCTTATGATCTGTTCTTAATACGAACGGATTTGTTCTACCATACAAATACTGATGGAAGCGCCGAATTCCAAATATAATTACGGTCGCTTCTTTCTGTATTTGTGAATATCGTTTTTCTGCGATATTTAGAGTTCGCGATGCAAACGAAAACGGTCTTTCTTGCCCGTCGGAACCTACTTGCGACAGTATCGCACCCAAGCCAACCGGAGACGCGTCTACAGTCAGGATTAGCCTTGCTTCGGGGTTGAAGTGGGCGAGTACCTGGTCTGAAGCTAATAACAGTTTTATTTTTTTATGTTAAAATCAAATACATTATATATTAATACCCCTAATGGCTAGCAATAAAGGGTTCAAAGTTGGTTTGTACAATGCAGGTTCTCTCGGAACAAAAAGTGAAGAGTTTATTACATTAATGAATAAGTTATCGGTTGATATCATGGCCATAAACGAAACATGGCTGAGAGCTGGAGAGGATGAACACGTACCAGTGATTCCGCAATATAAATTCCGGCATACTCCACGTCCAGCAATTGTAAAGTCAGGGCGAGGTGGCGGTGTGGGATTCTACATTAAAGAAGGAATTAATACACATACCTATATACACCCTGTCGATCCAAAACATAACATGGTTGAGCAAATGTGGCTAACATCCACTATAAGTGGTAAAAAAGTGGCGTTAGGTACAACTTATAGGCCCCCCTGGCTCGATGTAAATCTATTTTTAGATGCACTAACTGACACAATAACTTGCATGTCTTCCTTTGACCACATCATTATATTAGGCGATTTTAATATTAACTTGTTGCTTAACAATCATCATAACACAAAAAAATTACACTCTTTTTTGAATACACTCAGTCTTACGCAACTTGTAAACTCGCCAACACATTTTACCGAGTCAAGCTCATCCCTGATCGACATTATCTGTACAGACCTGAGCGCACGTCATGTCACCGTGGAGGCAACAGGGACACTACATGGGCATGCTATGGTGTTTTGCGAGTTCGACGTATACCGAGATAAACCAACCCACAAATGTATTTATATGCGGCCAATAAAAGACATTTACTATGATAATTTAAAAAAAGATCTGAATTCTATTCGTTGGGACTTAATAGCACAATTACCTGACGTAAATCATATTCTAAATACATTTAACAGATCTGTCCTCTGTGTCTTTTATACTCATGCACCGTATAAGAAATGCGTATTCAAATCTCGACCCTACCCATGGATGACACCTAACCTGAAGTTCATGATATCTTTAAAAAATAAAGCCTTGTCTGATTTCCGTAAAACTAAAGACGTTACAAAAAAGGAATATTTTAAAACTTTAAATTCATTAGTAAATAAGACAATATATTTCGAAAAAGTTGCTTACTTTAATAATAATATCAATAGCCAAAAAAGTCGACCAAAACATCTATGGAAAAGTCTTAAATCTATTATATTACCTTTGAAAAAACCTAAAGAGCTGCCCTTACATTTCACTGACGCTGAAAAAATTAACGACCATTTCCTAAATATTCCCGGTAGTTCAAAGGTTAATCTGTCTCAATTAACTTACTTTGAATTTAATAAATATTGTCAAAACAGTTTTAGCTTAGAACCAACTAGTGCAGAAGCCGTCTTTAAGGTAATCAAGAGTTTACATTCCAATGCTCAAGGATACGACGAAATAACACTGAATATGCTGCTTTTAACATGCTCTGACACATTGGATGTTATTACAGCCTTAATAAATACATCTTTCGCGACTTCTCAGTTTCCTGAACTATGGAAGATAGCTGTAGTTCGACCAATTCCTAAAAATAGTAATCCATTAGATATCAAGGATTTAAGACCTCGGCATTTTGCCGTGTCTTTCCAAGGTTATAGAAAAAATTGTATGCCGCCAGATAACAGATTACATCGAAAAACACGACATATTGCCACAGACACAATCTGGGTTCAGAAAAGGTCGAGGAACTGTATCCGCTTTACTAGATGTAACAGACAATATTCTACAAGCACAGGATCAGAGATTGTGCACGTTACTTGTATTATTAGATTTCTCACGAGCATTCGAATCAATTAATATTTCTCTGCTTTTATCAAAATTAAGCTACTATGGATTTGACATTAAAACGGTTAAATGGTTTAGCAGTTATCTCACTAACAGATTACAGGTTGTTGAATTAAAAAAACATGACGGCTCACCGACACGCTCAAAGCTTGCGACGATTAACAGGGGAGTACCACAAGGATCAATTCTAGGCCCAATATGATTCATCCTATACTCTGCGGATATCACTAAACATATATGGAAATGCAAATTCCACATCTATGCTGATGATATTCAAGTTTATGTATCTTTTAAAGCGGAAAACATGAACACAGCCATAATAGAATTAAATGAGGATTTACAGCGAATCGCCACATGGGCTGAGAACAATAGTCTTGTTCTTAATCCGGCTAAAACTAAGTACTTGTTGATAGGCCACAAAAAAGGACTAAATACAATTCAAACCCAGTCGACTGCACTAGCTCCAATGCTTCTTGGCATATCAATTGAGCGCGTGTACGAAGCTCGGAATCTGGGTCTGAACATGGATGCAGGGTTGCGATTCGAGAATCATGTGGCAGATTGCGTGCGAGCTTGTTTTTACAGATTGAAGACACTCTACAAAATTAGACCGTACCTCAGTGTCGAACTACGTGAACAGCTAGTAGAAACGCTCGTGCTTTCGAAGCTGAACTATGCAGACACTGTTTATGGGCCCAGACTGCTAGCTCGTACACAGCGACTAGTACAAAGGGTTCAAAACGCCTGTGCTAGGTTTTGTTATAAAATTCCTACGCGTAGTCATTTAACACCGTTTCTTAATAAACATTACGTATTGAAGATGAAATCTAGACGCAAACTCCACCTGGCATGCCTTCTCTTTGGTGTCGTGAAGTATAAAAATCCACCATACTTACACGACAAACTAGCTTTGGTCGCGCGAAACAGACAAGGTAACAACAGACTGTGTTCTCAACAATTATCTGTGCAGCGTCACAGAACAGCAGCTTTCAGGGGTAGTTTTAGATATGCGGCTACGAAATGTTGGAATAATATTCCACCTCCAATCAGGAGTTTAAAAAATCTCCACCAATTCAAAATCAAGCTAAAAAAATTTCTTATTGATGCACAAATACAACATGGCAATATCAACCGAGAAAGCTCCTTCCTATAACGCGTTGTACGGTTATTAACAAAATTGTCTGTATATTTTTCTCATTTTTGTTTATTATTATTATTACTAATCCATTTTAATTGATAATTGATAGTTGTTGTTACCACACACAATTATGTATAAGGTTATATTTAATGTCTTATATTGTACTTTTTTTTTTGCTGCTTTTTGCTTTATTTTAAATTTTATGTTATAATTATATAGAAGGTTTAGGCTTTTTTCGTTTTATCGAAGGACTAAACTACACGTAACAGCTGTGCTACGTTCGTGACGCCAATGAATAGGTTTCTTGGCTGAAAATCAGCGCTGTGTGAGGCCATACTCACACAACACATGCTGAGCCAACCCCTTTTCGGCACAATGCGACCTTTTTTATATATATCAATATGTGCTTTTACTTTCATGTGTATGAACTGCCTGTGCTGAATAAATGTTTTTTCTATTCTATTCTATTCTATTCTATTTTTGTAAATGCCTCATGATGATCTAGACCCCACGACCATTTTACCGCCTTTTTTAGCAGATTATAAAGTGGGCTTAAAACAGACGCTGCACTTGGTACAAAGTTTCGATAATAATTTACTAGGCCCAAAAACGATTGCAGTTGGCTTATATTTGATGGTGCAGTGGAGTCTACTATTGCTTTAATTTTATCTAGAGACTTTTTCAACCCATTTTTATTGATAACATAACCCAAGTAGTTAACCTCATCTTTATAGAACTCGCACTTCTCCCTTTGCAAGGGCAATCCTGCTTCTTGTAAGGTCTGCAACACCGCCCGGAGGCGTGCAGCGTGCTCGGCGTCGTCACGCCCCGTAATGAGCACGTCATCCAACAAACACAGCACGCCCTCCTGTCCACCAATTAGGCCCTCCATCGCGCGCTGAAAAATTGCTGGCGCTGGAGCAAGCCCAAAGACTAGCCTAGTATACTTGTATAATCCACGATGAGTGTTAATTACAGTGTACCTTTGTGACTCGTCATCCAGCTCAAATTGGTTATAAGCCATAGATAAGTCTAATTTGGTGAATTTTTTTCCACCATAAAGCTTTGCAAACAATTCCTTGGCAGTTGGCAGAGGATACTGGTCGATAATTAATTGCCTATTAATACTAACCGATTAATCGGCACACAAGCGAATAGTGCCATTTCTTTTTAAAACAGGGACTATAGGGGACGCATAGTCTCCGTGGTCAACCGGTTTTAATACCCCTAACTCAACCATACTATCTAGTTCACTATTTATTTTATTCCGTAGGGCAAATGCAATCGGTCTCGCTTTAAAGAAAACTGGTTTTGCATTATCTTTTAACTGTAAGTGCACCTTATGTTTAGTAAAACGACCTAATTTATCCGAAAAAAGAACTGGAAATTGACAT